TGAGGACCACCAAAGCATCGGCGAGTACATAATGGTGGACACTGATTTGGCCGGACGCATTGTCCATGGTCATTCCGAACGTAGCCTCTTTCACATTCGCAGACGTTCACCAGGCATTGCTGGAAGCAAGGAATTCCTTCGGAATCAGACATGGCTAAACCAAAAGAGGTGATCATTTCTCTATCGATTCTCCATCAACTGAGAGACAAATCAACTTCAGAAGAGATCATTTTTGAATGAACATTAGCTTCAACAATTGATTTCTCCTATCAATCACAGATTCTCTTTCATCATCAGGTATGTGTGCAAGTTTGTTAGAAGCAAAATATGTAGAAAGTCGGGATCACTCACCAAAGTGCAAATGGTGGGATTAGGTCTATCACAAGTACGTGGACACGCACTACCGCAGAGGGTGCACCTATCATGAGGACCACCAGTGCACCTCCGAGTGCATCCTGGTTCTCTTCTTGGACACTGTCTAGGCTTGACACACTGTCCATCAGCATTACGTACGTAGCCCTCCTCACACCTACAAACATTGACAGCGCATTGCTGCAAAGAGGGCATCAGAATTTGACCACTTGCTAATTGAATCTCTCATCACTAACCTTTGTACATGCTCTGATTTCCGGTCTATCACAAGTGAGCGGACACACAGTTCCACAGAGGGTGCATTTGTCGTGAGGACCTCCGGTGCATCTAGCCGTACATCTTGGACCCGGATGAGAAACTTCGGAGGAGTTGGAACCACTGCTATCTTCTGATTCCGTGGAAGTTTGAACGCTCACGAAGTTCAGAGCTAAAATGGCACCATTTAAACTTTCTGCGTCACAACTTCCATCATTTTTTTTTCTTGACTCACCTTGGACTACCACAATCACGACGAAAACTAGATTCAATGGTCTCATCATCTCGCTGCTGTCTCTGGTAAAAGAATGAATTTCTGCAATGGAAAACAATGTATTTATACTGATATCATTGACATTCGCAGAATGCGGGATTTTCCTGTTTGACGTTCATAAATGTACTCTCACCTGAATCATCCTCATTAACAGTGTATGTTTAGCTTATATGCAATTACGATTGCAGATAAAATTGAATTTCCACAACAGTGGGTGTTTTAAAATGATTGCCGACGTCGATCCAATCGGAAAATTATAGGCAATAGAATTTCGATCACACGGTTCACGTCATCTCAATACTGGGACCCCCATACAGTGATCACACAGGGAATTAATTTGTTTGACCAACATTCGGTGTTTGATTATCCCACGGCTATCGTTCAGAGGAACCCCTTCTAACAGTTGAATGGCTATCAAGGCAAGTTCACCCTTAATTGTATTACAACAGAATTTTATTTAATCAATAACCGAGTACAAATATCTCAGGACCAATAACCACGCCTTGGTTAATCCACAAGTTTATTAATACCCTCGAAAATCGAAAGTGTTCTTCAACAGGAAGTATAATTATTATATTGTTACGAATTGCTTTAATTGCATTCCTTCGAGCCTACACTCTTCCATTTTTTTGTGATACAAAAAAATGTGTGTCTTTCTTCCGTCTTTGATTAATAAACTATTGATTTCTTTAAATCATTAGTCTTCGCATATGGTTGGGTGCAATGCGAGCGATTCCGGTGTTACCTCTTGCTTAAAGTTCAATGATCTGAATCCCAGTAAGATCCTTCTAAATACCACCCAAGCCTTTCTCCGGATTTTTTTCGGCAAGATCAGTTAAGCCCCAAGAAAATGTCATTGATTGGGCCAGATAGCAGGCCCCATGTTAGCTCGCGTGGGTGCCCACCTGCTGTCTTCCAACCACCAAGCGTCACCTGCGACCACCAGGAGACACAGGACTTCCTTGCTACCTGTGAGTTCGCGCTTTGGAAAACAAAACATAAAAAAAAAAAAATAAAACACATGAAACAATCACCGGAGCGTGTCTCCTTGGCACATGTCGTCGGTGCACAAAATATCCGGTAAGAAAAGTTCGCCAAGCGCGTGCCAAAGCCCAAGGACCCCCGAGGAACCTGCCCCCAGGAATCAGGCATGCATGAATCCGCTGAGGACCTCCTGCACCTGCGGAAGTAACCCCAAGACAGTTTTAGTGATAGGCGGTGAGGGGTTGCGTATCAATCCTTAACACATGTGGAGGAATCTACTCGAGTAAGAAAACCTTTTGCAGCACCTGCAACCCCCAAGACTGTCTTCATTGCTTCATGGACTCCAGCGATGCATGATTCCTTGGCATATGCTATTCATTTTTCGTAACCGTTTGGATATTCACGAATTTCAGTCGACATGACGAATATTCGTGCAGAATGCCAACGAGACAGTTGTCATTAACGACGTATGTTGCAATTGGCAATCCTTAATGAGCGAGAGTTTCACTGCAATTTTTCGGGGTTTTTGTTAATCCATTAGTTAATCCATTGACTGTATTCTTGCACTATCATATCTCCAAATTTTATTAGAACTCCAATTTGTTTTGAAGTTCTGTGAAATGGGAAATAAAATTCTTAAAATGAAAAATGGTTTCCTTGAATTGAAGAAGGTTTCTTTAACTTCAAGAAATTCTATGTGGACGTCGACGTCGACGACTTCCATTTGAAGATAAATATCTCGTAGTATTAATAATTCTCGAAAAAAAAAAATTCTATTATATTTAAAATGCCTTGATAACTCTGACTATCCGCACCGGAAGCAGCCCCTCATTAATTTACAATCCACTCGGCGTAATTAGTCCCTAAAAAAATTCGGATGAACCTCAATATCAAAACACAGCAGGTCCTGGGGGTCACTCGGCCATATCTCCCTGGAGGGTGGACCCCAGAGAGGCACCATCACCACCAGTAATCAGCCTCACCATAACGTGTGCAGGCGAGCGTGACAGACAGGTGACACGCGTGCGCCACGCGCACCAAGCCTTCTACATCATTCCAAATACAAACAGTTGGATGTGGAAACAATAAAATATATGAAAATGGACGAACAAACACTGGTGCAACGCTTGGTCGCGTGCCATTGCGCGGCACAAAAATGAGATGTTATTAAGAAATCAAACGAATAAATATTGGAAAACCCAAAGAGTAAGGAAAATTCACACGAATATATGCAAAATATTGTTAAGGTGGTTGTCGCGCGACAGTCTCTGTAAAAAGTTTATCCGCTGTAAAACGGGCCAGTTTAGAACACAATCTTTTAGCGGTATATAGTCTCACTTGATTGATTGCATTGTGCATGGATAGCTAAAGCATAACTATATATTTTCCATATTAACTATTTTCAATTATATAAATTTATGAATTTCCGATAATTATATTCCGTAAACCAAACGGTCAATCGATTTGATTTTTTTTCTGTATTTCCTCCCACGATGTATATTCCACGTTTTTTTTTTATTTCTGAAACTGTCGAGCCGTTGATTTTTAAAAAATTCTAATCGGCAAAACTCCATTTAAACACGTGTTAAATTACTCGAATTTCAAAAATTTATATCTCAAGTTCGAAACGGTCAATTGCAAACGGAGAAGGCTCATTTTGTTGCTAATTTTTCAAACTATTCACCATAAAATTTTTAACGAAAACTGTCGAAAAAAAATTCTACGCGACAACAACCTTAAGTATTCCCTTTGCAATTCCTCTCAACCAACTTCATGTCAATCATCTTATGATTCTGGAGTCTACTCTACATTTCTAGTGTGTCTATCTTTCGCCCGGAATTCTTTTACTTAAAGTTTATTTATTGATTTATAAATACTCGTTTCGTTCCAATATATATCAACTATCCGGATATATATTCAGGTAAAAATATTATTTATCAGATATATGCTGAATAGAGGAAAGACTCGCGCATCTCCGTTTGCGCATCCCGTTATGTCCAGGTCTATAGTAATAATAATTCTATAAAATTTATAGATTTTAATGTTGATAAATAATTTTATTTTTTGTCCCGTAAGAATTTTCAAGTGTTCTTTTCATTTATTTTGCATTATATCTTGAACTTTATTGTTTTTTAGAACTCTGATTATATTATCTCTTGCACAAACAACATAACACTTAAGATCAATTTTCCATACACTTGAATTGATAATGAAATTGTTTATCGTGCAATCGAAACAAGAATTTCTCAGTTGGAGATGATGAGTTATCAGATCAGGAAAGTATGAATTCTCACAATCACCTCAATTCTAGATAGAACACAGACTACATTAATTTATGGGAAGCCTTATGCTAACACTTAACAATTCTCTTGGAGCAACAAAATCTCTTCCTGTTGAACACAAAAAAATAACTGACAGCATTCCCGATTATTTAAATTAACAAGGGAACATTTTTCTGTTCAACTTAATCTGTTTCTCTAAAAAAAAATTCATCTATCGGTAGATTCAGAAATATAAAATTCAATAAATAATACAAAATAAAATGGAAAATGGAATATTGTGACAAGTGATTTTCAATAACGATTTTTTACTGAATGAGTTTTATTATTCTCCCTGAGTTGACCTTCAATTGACGTATTAAAACGGGGAATCCCCGCAACCTAAAGCTCTCTTTACAAATCTGAATCGTGCATTAGTGTCAAATGATCTTCTACCCGTGGAATAATCCCCCATTATCACAATAATCTCCACCACACAATACGAATTACGTTATATAGACCACCCAGTACCGTTTAATACCCCCCGATACACAAGTAATTCTCGAAGTAACTCAGCAAACCCGATAGTTCGTAAAGCAATCGAACAGATTAAATTCGATATCAGTGCAGTTGAATCGATTAATTAATAACGAAGGGATTTCTCTCAGAGAAGTTAAACGAGAATTTCATATCACCCGGAACGAATCGTGTAACGATCCACCGGTGAGAACGATGAATTAAGAAGACTAAAAAGTAATACGTTTAAAAAAAAAAGAGATAACCAAGTGAATTCAGCATGAGTTGGCCTGACGAAGAACGGAAGTATCAGGAGCAAGGATAGGTAGGCAAGTTTATAAGATAAGCAACATGGAGTGTATAACCAAGGGTATATCCAATGGTGCGAGAAGGCAATACGTATCACGATTCGTCCATGGGTGTCTGGTTTATCCGGATCCCTTATTCGTGATACGTAATCGCTTACTTTAGTGTATTGGTAAGACACCCGGACCCTAACTCGCATACTGAGGGGCATAAGGAGGTGACTTATCGCTCCAATTCAAAGATGGCGCGACTGCCGGCTTTCCAGGATAAATTACACCATCTTGTGAATCGATCAAACGATCACGGGACACGCTATACGGGAGCAGTAACAAGAGCGCCAAAAAATTTGATGGCAAGTGCACATGAACTTTATTTACAAGCATCTCTTCGTTATCTTCGGAGTTAAACCAGTTCTGTGGCTTGCGGTGGGGCAAATAAAGAAGTTGGGAAAGTCTGAGTATTCGGTTTCAGAAGGCATCGACGGGGAGAGACTAGTGGAAAATTATATTATTTATTTATTAGCCCCAGATGTACGTCTCACCGGTCTTTTGCAAATAAAATATTGTTAAACATTCATATTGTCGATACATCTAGGAAATGTTTGGGTTGTTCATTAAATTTTTTCCTTCATAAAGGAATAGTAGAATGATGATAGAATTCATTTTTGGAATTCTGGAACGAAATTCCCTGCATTTTTCGAAACATCTTCAACTCTGATGCTGAGAGAGTCCAAACCAGTACTTGAGTCCACGACCCCTTGATTCGTAATCCTGTACCTTATCTACACGTCCACCGTGTCATTCTTGAAAACTGATATCAGTTTCGCGTACATTAGTACTCTAGTACTAATTAGTACTAGTAGTACTCGCCATAGTTGAAACTGTTGAAATGACTTTACACTTAGTCTATAATTATTTTCTTAGTATTTATATATTTTATTTATTATGTACCTCTCTCTATTGCCTAAAAGATTTTCCT